CCCTGAATGTTGAGAGTCTTCGCACGGAACTAACCGCCTCTTTACATACCCTCTTAAAATGACTCATCTAACTCCCCCTCTCCATTTGGTCCAATCCCGTCGAAACAGCTCGTTTCCCGGACCTCCCATTAGATGATCTCGGCGACTTAGATTAATCAAACCTGTACCTAAGCGGGATTAGCGATCCTCTGCAACAGCAAAACTTTAATTACTGAACTCTGATTTTGTGTGACCAGATAGTTTACTTTGTTACTGCATAACCGCTGTCTGGGCTGCTCCCTTATATACCTCACTGTTTACTCGTACTCAGCTCTTGTAATATCGTAAGACTTACAGACCGTTCTGTCCTTGGCGTTATAACGTGCTAAAGTTAATTGTATCTCCTTTTAATTGGTTATTTGCATTTTGCCTTTTAGGAATAAATGATTAACGAGAATAATTTTTAAACACATTTCATCTAAAATTTAATATTTATATTGTTGCGAAAATGCGAGGCGAATGTCAGATGAAAGAGAGAAGCCGATGACTAGTACATTCTAGAACGATAAAACGAGAACCTTCGATAGTGAACAACTCGATTACTCTACACTTTCGTCTACGAGCAGCCGACTGCTCTATAAGGTCGACACTCAGCTGCCAAGTAAGTCAGTTACAAAGTGAACTCGTTGGCGACGAAATCAGTATAGAGTATATCGGAATAAACAGTTCGTTGCGTTAGAGATTGCATTTAAGTAAAGTAAATTGTGAAAGTCTTATACAAGTGTGTTTGAGTATGCAAACCTGCACCAAAGCCAGAATCTACCATAAGAGATGTCGCTGCTGCTAGTACAATACGTGACTCATCCCTCTTGGGAAGGGCCCTGTTAATCAAGGTTCCGTTACACCTTCCACCTTCTGTTGAAGGCATAAAAGGCCGATGTTGCCGTTTAAAACTTCTCTTTTTTTGCGAGACCTCAGCCGCAGCAACATCAGGTAAGAATAAATTTTTTAAAAAACCCCTCTTCATATGTACAGCTGCCTTTTTATTTAAATAAATCTGTGTGTACAAAAACTAAAAGTTTTTCTTTTTTTCTTTATTTGTTGGAGAAGGTTTTATTTATTTTTCAGCTTGAGGATTGCCTGAAGGTTCGGCCCTATCTTACGATCCCCGTCTCCAGAATTCAGGAGGAATTCTGGCCCATCCATCCCGGCACGAATATTGGTCCTTCGAGCCGGATCCCAGAAGGCGATCCTAGTATTTCGTGTTTTTTTTTTGTATTTTTTTTCCTTTTTTTTAATTATTAAATATTTTTTTCTTTTCCATTTTATTATATTTTTTCTCAGCATCAGTCTTATTTTGCCGACTGAATTAGTTTTCGAAACAAAAAAAAAATTAATTGGAAAGGCATCACTGCGTGCTATTGTGGAAGTTAAAAGTTGAGTTCCACTGCTTCCAATAAGCACCAACTGTTGGTCCTGGATGTAAAAAAAAAAAAATTAACGCAAAAAAGGGGACATACATAAGTGAAAAGTGCATAAAAGTGAAACTGCACAACAGTGAAAGTGCATATAAGTGAAAAGTGCAGTGAAAGAAAAAGTGAAGAGTGCAGAAAATTGGAGCGTCGGCAAGAAAATTGCCACGAAAAAAGGCGCCCAGCTGCATAAAAGTGAAACTGCACAACAGTGAAAGTGCATATACGTGAAAAGTGCAGTGAAAGAAAAGGCGAAGAGTGCAGAAAATTGGCTCTACCAAGCCCAACGGGTGAGCTACAAGGCTCTACCAAGCCCACCGTGTAAGCTACAAGGCTCTACCAAGCCCAACGTGAAAGCTACAAGGCTCTACTAAGCTCCCCACTGTGGGAAGCAAATCCACTTAAACAACGGCATCGCTTTACCCAGAACACAAAACATTTGATCAACAAAAACCAAAAAAAAGCAAGTAAGTAGCATTTAAGGGTAAGTCCTCTTACACATCTGTTTACTTTTAACAAATTGGCATTGAGATAACACAACAAAACATTTCTCGGTTATACGTACGTTCATGGTACATTACTCCGGAAGTACCACGGTTCGCTAATGTAATAACGTGTAAACTGATACTTTAGTTTAGTTTAGATTCACATTAAGCAACAACGATCGGCAGAAGTCAGATTCGGGTTGACTTAATCTTTAGGATTATCGAATAAAGGTTTTAAAAGCGATTTTTAAAAATTTGTGTTTCGAAATGACAAGTTTATACGATTACGATACGACATTCGTGCAACAGACCTCGTCGACAGTAAATCCCATACCCAGGGAATTTGAACAGACTCCGCGACTTAATAATAATCTACCCCCATACGATACCGAAATTTTTTATGGCGACTACATGGCATGACCATCTTTTCGCGACGTATTCACCGCAATCTATATAAACAATTCGCGACTAAGTCCAGTAGAGACATTGTTTCATTTGAATCAAAAGAGGCGTGGCGAAGCAAAAGACATAGTTAAAAAATCGCCTCTAACTAATGAGGGCTTTCTTGCCGCGTGGCAAAATTTGTCGGAGAGGTACGAAAACAAACGCGTCATGGTTAATAGCCAGTTGAAAACGGTGTTTAACTTACCATCAGTGAGTGTCGAACGCAGCGCTGAGATCAAAAATTTACAACGATCTTTAAATAACTGTATCTCAGTTCTGCGAATGTATGGAATAGACTTCGAGAACTGGGACGCGAAATTTGTTTTCCTGGTATCAAGTAGACTGCCTGATACCACACCAGCGTTATGGGAACAAGGAATTCTTCAGAAAACGGAAATTCCGAGGTGGGAGGAACTGGATCAGTTTCTGACCGGTAGATTTCAGACACTGGAAACAGTATCTGACATATAAAGTTCCAGATCTTCGAGGCCTTTGCCCAGCAAAACCACTATACCACAGCCTAACAGAAGGATTGTTGCCCATCTTGTTAAATTTTCACAGACTGTTTGCAGATTGTGTTCCGATCATGCTCACGTTTTAAAAAGTTGTCCGAAATTTTTGACCATGAACGTGGATAACAGAGAAAAGGTCGTGAGGAAACATAATTTATGCACGAATTGCCTAGCACACTCCCATATAGCAAGGGACTGCAAAAGTCCATTTAAGTGTCTAAGTTGCCACCAAAGGCATCACTCTTTGTTACATCGCTTCCCTAGCGGAAGCAAAAGTTCGACACCGCCATCGCGGCCTTCTCCAGGGAATAGAGAAAATCAATTTTCTCAACCTCCAACTGGTGGCACCAATGTGCAAGCGCTATTTTCCACAAGAGCCAAAAATGTCATTTTAGGAACAGCGAGAATTAACGTATGTCATCAAGGAATGGACTACCCAGCCAGAGCGCTTCTGTATTCCGGATGTGAAGCTACGTTTATCACAGAACGGTTACAGAGACGCATCGGTATTCGAGCACGGGCTGTTGATACGCTAGTGAGCGGAATAAGTGCGTCAGTAATGGCTAAAGTTCGAAAAGTCCCACATTTTGTGATAGGATCTCCTGTAAACCCCCCGTTTATGATCGAGGCAAGAGGTCTGGTTCTACCCCAATTGACAGGAGACCTCCCCAAGTCTACAGTGAATCAATCACAAATTGATTCTCTGCCTCCACTTAAGTTTGCCGATGCCAACTGCTTCAAGAGTCAACAGGTCGATGTAATTATTGGTGCAGATCTGTATCCATCAGTGATCTTGGGAAACGTGCAGAAAGATATTTTAGGCTCACTACTAGCACAGGAAACGGTTTTCGGATGGATTTTGACGGGTCCTCTACTTCAATAACCTACTCAAGGACCGCATTATACGTCCTACTTCACGGAAGTGTCAGGAGAGCAATTGACGCGATTTTGGGAATTGGAGGAATTTCCAAATCGGAAAAAGCAGATGAATCAAGAGGAATCATACTGCGAAGACCAATTCCGAAACACAACAGCGAGAGATGGGGAAGGACGCTACGTGGTGTCATTGCCATTCCGGCGGGAATTTCCGACGGATGTCAGCCTGGGATATTCCCGCAACAGTGCAACCCAGCAGTTCCTCCGGAATGAGTCATCACTACTAAGGAGGCCGGAACTGAAGGCAGAATATGACAAAGTACTGGAGGAATATATAAAGCCTGGTCACATGGTAAGAGATGAGAACTCAGGAGGTAGGCCTCATGATACATTTTACCTGCGTCACCACGCGGTCATCAAACCGGACAGCACGACCACTAAAGTGCTTGTGGCATTCAATGCCTCCTCACCATCATCTAATGGAGTAAGCCTAAACGATGTTCTCCATCCTGGACCAGTAGTCTAAGCGGACCTCGTTTGTCTGCTGCTGAAGTGGCGGTTTTTTAAATACGTCTTCAATGAAGAAATCGAAAAAATGTACCGGCAAATACGGTTGCAGCCGGACAATACGCGTTATCAGAGCATCGTCTACAGAGGATCATAGAATGAAGAGTTAATGGACTACGAACTCCTAACCGTAACGTTCGGTGTAAATTGCGCTCCGTACTTGGCAATAAGAACGCTTTTCCAGTTGGCAGACGATGTCAGTGCCCTCTGGCCACTTGCTTCCAAGGTATTGAAGCAGTATATGTATGTGGATGATGTATTGGCAGGAGCTCATGACAGGGAAACAGCCATTCAAATTCGAGTTGAACTGATAGAGGCGTTAAAAGGAGCGGGATTCCCACTCAGGAAATGGACGTCTAATACTAAAAGTATTTTAGCTGGATTACCGACGGAACATCTGCTGAAGGAAGAATTTCTGAACATCGATGACTTGAGCGAGGCGAAGATGCTGGGTATCAGATGGAATGCAGCTCAAGACGCCTTCTATTTCAACGTGCAACACATCCAGGTAAGGCCTAGCTACTCAAAGAGGGAGGTACTATCATGTGTAGCCAAACCATTCGATCCGGCCGGTTGGCTGGGTTCGATCGGAGGAAAGGCAAAAATACTCATGCAGGATATATGGTTAGCTAAAATAGACAGGGATGATAGCCTACCCAGAAACCTCTACCTTCGTTGGGAACAATTTCTCAACAATTATAGGTACATAGGTGAAATCCGTGTTCCCAGATGGATTCATTTTACTCCTTGGGATGAAATTGAATTCCATGGATTTTGTGATGCCTCGAAAAAGGCATACGCCGCAGCGGTATACGTGAAAATACGGGAACGTAATTCCGATAGCGTGGCGTACATTAACTTATTGGTAGGTAAAACGAAGGTAGCGCCTGTGAAAACTATCTCGCTACCTCGGTTAGAATTGTGTGGCGCATTACTTCTGTCTGAATTAATTAACACGTTGCTCCCACAACTGGAAATATCTCAACCAATGGTGTATAAGTGGACCGACTCGACCGTTGTGCTTTCGTGGCTGAAGAAGCCACCGTGCTCCTGGACAACGTTCGTGGCAAACAGAGTCGCCAAGATTGAAGAATTAGTAGGAAGCTCAGGATGGAATCACGTAAATTCAGCTGACAACCCCGCTGATCTTGGCAGTCGCGGAGCTTCACCTCAAGAACTAGCCAGAAGCACTCTCTGGTGGCATGGACCAAACTGGTTGACCAAGGAACAATCTCAATGGCCACTTCCCGAGAAGGACATTGTCTTTAATACGGAGTTAGAGCAAAAGACAACGCGAGTACATGCAACCAGCGTCCAAGACCACGAAGATATTTTAGATAGGTTCTCAGATTTCAGATTTCTCCAGAGCACTGCGCGTAGTAACAAGAATTTTCAGGTTTTATAAACGCGCGCACTCGACGCACCAAGAAACAGTGACGGAGAATCAAAACGAGTTAACCACGGAAGAAATTCGAGGAGCCAAAGCACGACTTATTATCCTAGCGCAAAAACACAGCTACTCGGATGAATACCAGGCTCTGAGCAAGTCAGCTCCCGTCAGCGCAAAAAGTGCTCTAAAAACTCTAAGCCCATTTCTCGATAAAAATGGGATTATGAGAGTTGGAGGAAGACTTGCGCCGTCGAATCTGTCATATAGCCAGCGTTTTCCCATCATTCTACCCTACAGTTGCCAATTCTCTAGACTGCTCGTAAAATTCTCCCATTTGATTTCGCTGCACGGAGGAAACCAATTAATGGTGAGACTGTTGAGATCAGAGTTTTGGATCGTCAGGATGAAAAACCTTGTAAAAAATATTGTTAACAATTGTATAGTTTGTATCATTTACAGGAAGAAAACGCGAGTACAAATAATGGCAGCCTTACCTCCAGAACGCACAGAGCTAACCAGACCATTCGCAAACACGGGCATCGATTTCACCGGCCCGTTCGACATTCGTAACTTTACCGGACGAGCCTGCCTAATTACTAAAGGCTACGTCTTCGTCTTCGTATGTTTTGCAAAAAAGGCTATCCACTTAGAAGCCACGAGCGATTTGTCTACCTCAACCTTCATAGCCGCCTTGAATCGATTCGTAGCTCGGCGTGGATGCCCACGCAATATATATTCCGATAATGGCACGAATTTCGTGGGGGCTAACAAAATGATAAAGCAGGATTTTGAGAACTTCGTCAAATCGGCATCCCATCTGGCTATTCAATCCTTCGCCCACCAGGAGTTGAGCTGGCACTTCATACCTCCCGGTGCACCCCATATGGGAGGATTATGGGAAGCCGGAGTAAAAAGTTTCAAAACACATTTCAGGAAGGTATCGGAATCAATGCGATTCACGATGGAGGAGTTTTCAACCCTGTTAGCCAAAATCGAAGCTTGTCTAAACTTAAGACCGATTAGCCCGCTTTCAGACGACCCCGACACATTGGAACCACTCACCCCAGGACACTTTTTGGTCGGAAGCCCGCTACTCGCAATGGCTGAACCGGAGACAGTCGGCAACCCGATATCGATCGTCAACCGCTGGCAGAAGATAAAAGCAATTCACTAAGGATTCTGTGGTCGTTGGAAAGCAGAATACCTTAAAGAATTGCAGAAACGCGTGAATGGCAATCACCCCAACGAAACCTCGAAGTGGATGACTTCGTAGTTATCTAAGAAGAAGATAACTCACCCCCAAACGAATGGCGGCTCGGCAGAGTCAGTCGAGTTTTTTTAGGTTCAGACAATCGAGTTCGAGTTGCAGAAGTCCGAACGGAACGCGGAATAATCACCAGGCCAATCGTGAAACTTGTTTATCTGCCAATTGCGATGGTTTAAGTAATTTCTTTTTCTCTTTTTCCAGAATTCCACCCAACAGTCAAAATGGTACGAGTCCAACCAAAAAATCACCAAAATAAGAAGGCGACGAACAGATGCCCCGTATGTAGTCATAACCACCGACTAGTATTTTGTCGGGAGCTGCGTCGCACGGAAGCAGCCGAGAGACCTCGAGCCGTCCTCGTGCACCACCATTGCGCCAATTGTTTATCCCCCCATCACATGGCGAAAACCTGTCCGTCCCCCAAAAGCTGTGATCGGTGTCAACAGCGACACCATAGCCTATTGTATCTAGGGGAGCAAGGTCGGGATGGAGGAGGCGAATCCATTGTTCTGAACATTGACACCACCGCGTGGCGAAAACGACAACCTTACACAGCCAAGGCTTTAGAAGAAAGCAGTAATGACTTAGAGGTGCTAATCCTGGATGCAGATGAGACCGATCTTCATTCGCCAATGACTGAAGCCCCTGCCCTTGTGACTTCACCGAACCCCAGACCTACTCTGTCGAGGATACGGTCAACGGTACAGAAAGCACCGACACGTGCAGGAGACAACTGCGGCAAACATGACATATGGCACAGACAGCAGCAACAACAGCGACGAAGGATGAGAGACGCCCGGAAGCGGATCACTGGTTCAGCTCATACCGCAATAGGACAATCTGTCCTCACCGCTACGGTCGCGGTAAAAGTAATGACAGAGGGACATGTATTCCACGTATGCGCCATTGTTGACCCCGGACAAGGCACAAGCACAATCTCTAGGGCCCCGGCACACAGGCTACGTGTGCTGCATAGTGGGGACAAGGCATGCAGACTTGTGCTTAAAGGTTGGCATGAGCGGTTGGAAGTTCAAGCACTAATAACGCCAACACTAAATCGCATAACCCCGGAATGTACGTTAGACGCCAGACTCAGAAGCGAGTTTGACAACATAAGACTAGCAGACCCGAGTTTTTATCACTCGAGCAACGTGTCGCTAGTTCTCGGTGCAGAAGTATATGCCGCCATACTACGTCCTGGATTGATGGCGGCCACTCCTACTCGTCCTGCTGCCCAGAATACGATGTTTGGATGAATGCTTTCGGGCAGCACACCCTTCTAGGCCAATATCCCCCAACCAGACAGAACAGGAAGCGGACAGATTTCCATTATAAGTTAAGAACTCAAATGAATTGTGAATCATAAAATTAAGTTGAATTGATGAAATATATATCAATGAATTGTCAATTAAATTTTTTATATTCAGTAATAATTTGAAGTTATATTGCAGTGATGCTGCAAGGCGGGCTGCATGTTTGAGTATGCAACCCTGCACCAAAGCCAGAATCTACCACAGGAGATGTCGCTGCTGCTAGTACAATACGTGACTCATCCCTATTGGGAAGGGTCCTGTTAATCAACATTCCGTTACACCTTCCACCTTCTGTGGAAGGCATAAAAGGCCAATGTTGCCGTTTAAAACTTCTCTTTTTTTGCGAAACCTCAGCAGCAGCAACATCAGGTAAGAATAAGTTTTTAAAAAACTCCCTTCATATGTACAGCTGCCCTTTTATTTAAATAAATCTGTGTGTAACAAAAACTAAAAGTTTTCATCTCTTTCTTTATTTGTTGGAGAAGGTTTTATTTATTTCTCAGCTTGAGGATTGCCTGAAGGTTCGGCCCTATCTTACGATCTCCGTCTCCAGAATTCAGGAGGAATTCTGGCCCATCCATCCCGGCACGAATAAAGTGATTGCAACTAGTAAAGTTGCTTTGTAATTGAATTGTGAATTACTGAGTAAATAAAGTACGTTAGATAAATTCTTTATAAGGAAAGAAACTGCAAANAAACTTCAATGTAATTGGGAAGGTCCATACAAGATAATCAAACGACTAAACGACGTAGTGTATCGAATCCAAAGCGTTGGGAGGCTAAGAAACAAAATGAAAGTAGTCCTCCTAGAGAGGCTTGCTGAGTTTGGAACAGCGAATGTGTCTGATCGGGACGATAAAACGAGAACCTTCGATATCGAACAACTCGATTATTCTACACTTTCGTCTACGAGCAGCCGACTGCTATATAAGGGCGATACTCAGCTGCCAAGTAAGTCAGTTACAAAGTGAACTCGTTGGCGACAACATTAGTACAGAGTATAGCGGAATAAACTATTTGTATATATTGAGTCCTAAAGTAAACGTGTTGGAGATTACATTTAAGTAAAGTAAATTGTGAAAGTTTTATACAAGTGATTGTAACTAGTAAAGTGCATTGTAATTGAATTGTGAATTACTGAGTAAATAAAGGACGTTAGATAAATTCTTTGTAACGAAAGAAACTGCAAAGTAGGGTTTTTTATTTAACAATCCAGAGATTGTACCCGAAGGATTCAGAAAATCATCGAGATTGATTCAGCAAAATCGTAATAATATAAATTCTTAAATATTTATTTCCTGATATCTTGAGTAGATTTTCTGTCATTATTGAAGTAGACGTAAGTGGTTTGCATTCGTAATCTCATTCTTTAAGCGTGTGTACAGAGAACGTAAATATATATATTTACGTTCTCTGGTGTGTATGTAATTATCGTTTTAATCGGAATATTTTATTATCAATGTTGTAAATCGATATATCGTCTTCAGTTAATCCAATACATTTCTAAAACGCAAAGTATACAAAATTTTGAACAGTCAGCAAAACTTCAGTAGTTTTCATTGGTATTTTATTTCTGAACTGCTACGTTGACGTTCTGCTGTGGAATCAGCTATCTGTACAAATTATGTTGGCAGAAAACCTGAAATCGAGATATCGCCACATTGAAGTTTTCGCACTAGTAATTTGGTTTACATTTCAATGCTCAACATATGGACTTATTACATACGATGATTTGGTGGATAATGATTTAAATAATCATCAAACTGGAGAGGGGTCATCCCGGTTTCCATTGTTAATGCCACAAGTTTCGCCTAATATGGTAACATAGTTCCATTTATGCTATTATTGTAATTTTTCAAAAAGTTGAGGAAAGTTTTTTTTAAAATGTTACAAATAATGAAACTAAGAATTTTTTTTCCGAATATGAGACTAGTTCGGGAAAATGCTATCCTATTTGAATTAATTTCGTGTCACATTAAAATTAGGTTGGCTAATATCAGTAATCAATTGTTACAGCCCCGTTTCTTGAAACGAAAAGCCAGTTAAATTCAGTTTGGAAGTGAAGGTAGCACTTAAAGGAAAAATGGAATTAGAAAACAATTTTTTTTGTTGAATGCCAGCTGATTTTGAATTGATGTAATTTATTAAGAAACTTTGGATCGACTAAGCTTTTCTTTCCTATGCATTATGGCTGGGAGAGGTAAATATGACTATATTCTTAGGCACTTTTAATAATTGTGTTGTAAGTTTTAATATTTCGGTCGTCTTCCCAGCAGAACTTTTTTCTACTTGTAAGAGACGGCCACACCAATATGCATGATTGTTATAACCCACCCTACGGGTTAGGGGTTTAAGAATTTATCCGCGGTAAGGCATGTCTGTCGTAAGAGGCGACTAAAACCAATAGTTTCCGCGACAGTCGGGTCTTTATACCTGAACCACCCGGATTTTTATCCGGCCAAGGACTGTCACTTTTGGATTTTACTCGATATTAACTTTTTTTTTTAATTAACTCTTTCGACCTGGCATCCGCCAGAAGGGCTAAAACGAAGGTTTTGGTCCGCAAAGGTTGTCATAAACAGTATCCGTGGCTCAGAGTACAGGTGAGTTCGAAAACGTCAGTTGCAATCCAATAATATGTTGTCACGCATTCCTAAGTGCAACTATGCATCATTCCAAAGTATTTTGATGTTTCGGAACTCGTCCTACTTGATGATATTTATGACATTGACTTAGTTGTACAGATTTGGATACGAGCACTTTACGATATCACACGTATCACACGCATTATTTGTATCCGAGTGGTTAGAATTGCATTGCCATTCGGAAGGCTCGGGTTCAAATCCTGGTGCCGGAATAACATCCAAAAAGTTATAGGAAATTAATTGAAATAAAAAATTAAGTTAAATTTTCTATTGTTGTTGCGGCTCGTTAATCCCCCTTAGGTTACAGGTTTTACTAATCTAAGTCACCGACGACAAGTAGTGGGAGGTTCAGGAAATGCTGTTTCGACGGGATTGGACACCAAAGGGAGAAGGGGGTTAGATGAGTCGGTTTAAGGGGCATGTGAAGAGGTGGTTAGTGTCGGGCGGAGACTCTCCACATGCAGGGCATACGTTGGATATGCTAGGGTAGAGTCTGAATAAGTAAGGGTTAAACCTGGTGCAGTACAGTAAATTTTCTAATTTCAGTCGCCACTCGGCTGGAAATTCCACCCCCTCCGAGTGTATTTTTGACATGAAGTAAAGCTCCTAATAAAAAAAACATCAGCCGTTCAGAGGCGGCTTAGTGTAAACTGTAGGTCCCTCCATTTGTTGAAAAAAATCAAGAGGCGGAGCTCGGCCGAACAACGGTTCAGCGGTTACAAAAGCGCCAATTATATATAAACAATCTCTCAGCTTGCATACGTTGAAATTCAACTTCATAGTCCACAGGTATGGTAAATCGGATTAATGGGTACACATGGCGCATTACAATGCTTAGTTGATAGTCTGTTTTGTAATTGTAATTTCCTATATCTAAAGGTAGCTCTCTTGGCATTCACTTATTTCCACTTAAGGGTGCATTTCATCCAATATTCATAGAGCTTCGTTTGTATTTCTAAATCAAATTATGCTCTCTGTCACTGGAAGCTTTAATTTCACTAAATATTCATATTTATATGTGTATGCAGTTTGGTTTTATAAACGTATTTTACAGTAATACAGAATCTCACTGACTAGTTTTGTTGTTAAAAGAATGTGTATGTTAATTTCCTGAAAATAGCGTTTAAATTTTATGAAACAATTACCTCAGTTAATTCAGTTTCCTATCCCCAATACCGAAATAATTAATCTCTTAGCAAAATGATTACACAATTATAGGATGTTTTCGACGAACATGCGAGACACCTGCTTTTTGAGTCGGCCACTATAAGCAGTAGCCCTAAAAGAACTTCAACAAAAAATAAGTTTCAAATGCTAATTAATTTTTTATTGCTATTTGCTATTGTACCCGTGAAGTGCAACCTTTTGAGAGATATCAGTACGAGTTATTGATTACATATATTTTTTGATAGATTTAAAATTTTATTAAAGCTAAATATATACTTATGTTTTATATATTTTCAGCCAGAGCTATATTTGTGTACACCAGTAAAAGTTGATTACACAACTAACTATTACATAGGTATGTTGAGAAAATATATTTTATATATATATATGTGTAACTATTGTAGCATACATTATTGGAGTAGTTAATTGAAATTCAATGTTCAATGTGAATTTTTTTTATACAGGTTTAAGTATATTTTTTATGCTTAAGCAGCGTAGCCTGTATATTCCGAGAAGAGTGGTGTGAAGGTCTAGCTTTAGAGGGAATCAGTGAAGATCTCTCTGATATGAGTCTTTCACTTCAATTGGTAGGAAATGAAATAGAACACTTTATTTTCGGTTGAGTTAAAGTACAATATAAAAGACTCCGATGAGATGCGACGTGTGTGAACTCGTCTTTGGCTTAACAGAGACCACAGACTCAATTCCAAGTTACCTGTTGACCTAAACGGAGTTAGGTCGCCGAAAGTGGGAGGAGCATCTAAGGACCTGCAACCTCTCGTCTGGGGCAACCAAGCTTTGGTTTATAGTCAAGTCGCTGTCTAACCCGACGAGACGTGATGACCGGGTGGAAATTTCATTCGGTGATCGCACCCCGTCGGACCCTAAGAGATGGGTGAGCTATTTTAGTCGACTTTTCATACGGCATCCCTCGGTAGACAAAGCGAAACGACGTGTAACGTATGACGTATGTCGTATGCGCAAACTGCCAAACACCAACGCGGTGCTTGATTTCTCCAGGGAGGAGGTTCAGAGTGTCATCGGGAAGGCGAAAGCATCCAAGACCATCGGCCCCGACGGAATAAGCATGCTGATGCTGAAACACCTAGGACCAGAGGAAACAGAATTTCTCATGAGGGTCCTCAATTTGTCTCTGACCATCCCGCTACTCAAACCGGGGAAACCAGCCATCAAAGGAGCGTCCTATCGGCCGATAACTCTCCTCTCCCCAGTAGCGAAGACACTTGAGGCCTTACTGCTCCCGACTTTTACTCACCATCTGCGTCCCGCAGCGAATTAGCATGGATTCCGAAAAGTGCACAGTACCACAACAGCACTTAACGCCATACACACCCAGATAGTCCATGGACTTAACCAAAACCGACCCTGCGAGCGAGCTGTCCTGGTAGCATTGAACTTGTCAAAAGCTTTTGACACAGTCAATCACTCAGTGCTACTAACGGACATTGAGGAATCCTCATTACCGCCGGGGTTGCAGAGGTGAGTCATGGACTACCTGAGTTGTCGACAATCATCGGTAATATTCCGAGGTGTAACATCTAAACCCAAGAAAATTAAACAGGGGGTTCCGCAGGGTGGTGTCATTTCCCCGCTACTGTTTAATTTCTACATCTCGAAACTCCCTCCAACACCAGAAGGAGTTTCCCTAACCTCTTATGCCGATGATTGTACGATAATGGTGTCTGGCCATGATATTGACGACCTCTGTTCGAAAGTGAACGGCTACCTTGCTGATTTCACCCACTTCTTCATTGCAAGACAGCTAAGAATACAACCGACGAAATCCTCGGCTACCCTCTTCACCAGCTGGACGAAGGAGTACAGGCTTGAACTAAATGTGAAGGTCGAGGACACAAAAATTCCGACGGTGAATAACCCGAGAATATTGGGAGTAACACTAGAGAGCCTGCACTCCGCATACGACCGCAATTGCCGCGAAACTCCAGAGCCGCAACAAAATACTCAAGGCGCTAGCCGGTAGCACCTGGGGTAAAGACAAAGAAACTTTGCTGGCTACTTATAAAGCAATTGGTCGTAACCTATGCTGCACCGATCTGTGCGCCAGGGACCAACGAGACGCAGATAAAGAAGCTTCATGCTTGCCAGGACTGCGACAGGAAACCTCTTGATGTCGCCGGATCATCACTTGCACAGGGAAGCATCTATGTTACGAACTAAGGAGCATAATGCTAGGCAAGCAGTTCCTATTGGGATGCTACCGCAGAGAGCATCCCAGTAGGCCACTAATAGAAGCTGAACCTCCACCTAGGCACTTCAGAAAGGGAGTACTAGACTTATAGGACACAATCCAGCAACATATACAACAATCGCTGGACAGGACGGCGTACCGACAAGCACTGAACGCTATTCACCAGGAGTCAGCCAACACCTTCAAGGACTCCCTTCCAGTGAATGGCGTACTCGAAGAAAAACCACCACCTATAGCAGACAACGAGCTCGAGCTGCTTCGTGAGACCCGCGCGACCCTGACACAACTTAGGTCTGGATATTGTAGCAGGTTAAGCTCCTACTTATCCAGATTAGACCCCAGCATACTCAACGTATGCCCTGCATGTGGAGAGTCTCCGGACGACACTAACCACCTATTAACATGCTCTCTCAAACCAACTCATCTAACCCCCCTCTCCCTCTGGTCCAACCCCGTCGAAACAGCTCGTTTCCTGGACCTCCCACTAAATGACCTCGGCGACTTAAACTGATCAAACCTGTGCCTTAGTGGGGTTAGCGAACCGTTATAACAAGAACAAGAAAAACAACACTCAATTCCAAGTACGGCGGTTGTTATATAATGGTCTGGAGTTGTTTCTATGGTCAAGGTATCCGACCAATTCATCAAAAAATTAGAATTATTATACCAACATCAGAAAATGTGATGCTACCATATGCTGAAGAGGAGAGGTTTTTTTTTTGTTTCCAGCAAGACAACGATCTTAATTATACCTGAAAGAATAGACGGCCGTTGTAGTTAAGATTTTATGATAAAATAAAGCATCACAAACCTTAGCGATGCACAGTTTGCTTTTGTTTGCGCATCAATAACATTACCCATGCATTTTGGAACATGATACATCGTCAAAGTTTGCACAGTTGCGCTTGGGAATGTGTGATAATGTATGATTGCTTTGCAACTGAAGTCTTGGAACTCACCCTATATCGATAATGTGCTTACCTCCAAATTGTAAAACACTAATACAGTCAATGAATCAAAATGTTTTAAGGCTATCCAGACCTACCAAAAAAGGGTTTGTTTATAAATGAGTCTTTAAGAAATATTAATCTGAAGCATGGAATATGCTCTTTAGCTAATGCTTGGGATGTTCTTAATGTACCTTCCATTCAATCGTCGTTGCAACAGCTGTTTGAAAAGGCATATGATTGGGATACTGAGGATATCGTTCCTCCTTCTGAATTACGTTTGCAAATTAATAATAATGCAACTAATATTCAGCTCATTGCAAAGTTGCTTCAGGAACCCTTGGAGGAAATTGCAAGTTCAGAAATCAAGCAATAAATGAATAATGACGATGACGAAGTTCAAAATGATGCAACTAACGAACGGAGGTCACTTCAGCTTTCAATATATGTCTTGATTGGGTGGAGTAAAACACTGTGGCTTAGAAGCTAGTCATGCTCACGTCGAAAACTTGTCTAATGGCATCTAAATATTTATCGATTTTTTTATTCCAAATGATTTATTTTTTATATTTAATTAAATTTACACTTACTTGCAACAACCTCAAAAAATGCCGAGGCTGGTTTTCATTACGTGCCAGAATCGAGTTTCTACTGCATATGTATACATTTCTGAACATACAATTGTACATATTTATTATTACCGCTGCGACTATTGTGTCCTCTTATTTTTAACGCTTTTTCCCCAAGTCCGCCAGGAGAACAAACATGAGGGCTTGGACGATCTAATATGAGTTTGCTGCTGCTGCCTATACTTATGCACATAAGTATGAAGACAACATTTATCTGAAATATTATGAATATGCCCCGCGAATCGCGGAAAGAAATTTAGATATTTATGTAAGAAATAAATTTAGTAAGAAACCAAAAAGAAATTGTATGCAATTTTCATTGCATGCTCTTATGTTACTTTACAATGGACAAATTTTATAAGCTTTTCACATCACGTGTTAAAAATAAATATAATTTTACTTATACAGGCACGCATAGTCCGAGTTTACACAGGGATACTTTTTGTAGACGAAACACTCGTTTGGAGGGGAGGACGCGATGACGAAGGCGACAACGCATGTGTGTGTCGGTGTGTCGCTGTGCTCGTTCGACATCCTTTGTGTTTCTATTCGTCTCTGTAGATTTTGACATTCCCTTTTATTTTGTTTCTCATTTTGAACTGACTGATGCTATCTTAAATTTCAAATGAATATTTGCCGTAGATTAAGAAATTGAAATTTGGGTTTCTACTACAATATTTATATGTACATGTAGACATACTGTTACGATTTTACTAAATCAACCTCGATTATTTTCTAGATCCTTCGGGTACGATCTCTGGATTGTTAAACAAAAACTCGCTAACTTAATTTGAAGTTTCTTTCGTTATAAAGAATTAATCTAATGTCCTTTATTTTCTCAGTAATTCACAATTCAATTATACTACACTTTACTATTTATAATCACTAACATCAACTTTCACAATTTACTTTACTTAAATGTAATCTCCAACGCGTTCACTTTACGACTTCACTGATGTTAACGCCAACCAGTTCGCTTTGTCACTAACTTGACTTGCAGCTGAGTGTCGCCTTTATATAGCAGTCGGCTGCTCGCAGTCGAAAGCGTAGAAGCATCGAATTGTTCGCTATGGAAGGTTCTTGTTTTATCGTTTCTAGAATGTACTAGTTATCGGCTTCTCTCTTTCATCTGACATTCGCCTCACTTTTTCGCAACAATACATATATATGTCTGTGCGTATATGTATCCAATTATTCATAAATATTTTAGATGATGAAAATTGCAGATAAAGTTTAATTAATGCAAGAAATATTAGAGAGTATTGAAGAAGCCGATGAGATTGACTTTGATTATAGTGAAAAGGATAATATATGTAATTAGATTGCTCATTAAAGAGGGTATAGATGATGTTTAATCAAATGTAAAAATATTTAAAAGAAAAAGATAAATAAAAGCTGTTTATTCCTTTACTACTTTAACTACATACTGTTTATATTTTAGAAATATTAAAAAGCAAGAAGCGAACGAAAAATTGCGAGTGTCAAATAAAGCGGAATAGAAATATGAAATGAAGAATAAACAAATATCAAAAAAATTACTTGAACAAAGTATCTCTGTGTGAACGTGAAGAGCGACCCAAAAAAGAAAATTACGATAGCGACAAAAGTATCCTCATGTAAACTCAGACATATACAGGCCTATTCTGTCGAGGTAACAAAATTTTCTTTGGTATTAAAATTTACCGTATAGTAACTTTTGTTATTATTTCGTATTCTGAGTTCAGTGCCACCCAGTAAATTTTGTTACCAGCGAAATAGGAGCTAACGAAAAATGTACTGTTTGATTTTGTGTTTAGTTTGAGAAAAAATAAAAACCAAAATGGGTAGGCATATTTTAGGCATGGAATTCATTGAAGATGAAGATAAAAGTGGAAAAAAGCGCATGCTAAGAAGTTTGCAAGCAACAAACCCTTTTAATTTGGAATATAGCATTTTCATTCAGGTTTTTTTCGCTTAGGCATATTTTCCAAAATTAGGTTCAATCATTTATTATTTACTAAAAAAATAAATAAAACTTATTTATTTTGAAGTGCACCGTCTTCCATTTCGATGTGAAAATTATTCATTTTCCCCTTTAGCAACTGGCAAATGTAATTTGACAAGGATGAACAAAGCAGTGCTGCCCAAGTTTACTTTACCGTAAACAGTGAGAATAGGCCTGTTAAAAGTAAAAGGTATTGACTGCATTTAAGCATTTTATTTTTTTTTTTTTTTTTAAGTTTTGATAAGTAATTTTTTTTTCTGACATTTAACGGAGCACAAAAGGAATCAACTTTACAAAGAAAAATGAAGAAAATAATTTTTATTCAGATTTGCTTGGTGAAGTTCTTAACCAAATAAGTTCAACTTCGTCTAACGAATCATGCATTTCTGAAAAATATTAAGCTGCCGAATCATTTAATGAAACAACTGATACAAAAACAGAGTTATTAGCCTTTTAAGAATGTAAGAAGTACACTCATAAAACCTTGTATCAGCATTCCCAAATTATACAATATAAGCGACAGAAGTGTTAAGAGAGTATTTTCTACCATTAAAGATATTTTAAATTACTACAATTAAGTGATGATTTAGCCGAAATAACTTGACTACTAAGTTAAACAATAACAACTAAACTCATACAGTGATGAACTAAAGTAAGATCGAGGGACACATTTTCAACTATTTTCACTTCAGTTCATTTTCTTATCTTTTAAGTTCAACTAATACTAATTATAAATGAAAAAAGTAAAACTAAGCCACACATATTGACACACTTCTCAAAACAACAATTCCTCTCAAGAATCCCCATATGGTATTTTTGGTCCATAATGCCGTCAATGAATCATTTAAAACCTCAGGCCTGCATGCACGTGTTGCGTTTTGTAAAGACGAAACCCCCTCAAAAATGTTTCACACTGCTTCTTGTGGTGTAGCGGCTTCTGTCCATCTTTCCACCAATTTCTGCATATGATTTGCCCTGTTTTTAATTTTTCGCTAAGATATGTTAGTTTCTTTTCATTTTTCTGAAAATTACGCAAAGTCGGGACTTCTGAAAAAAAAGTTGCTAGATCAATCAAATCTAATTAAATTCAAGCGAAATAGCCCAGTGAAATTTACGTGTGTCAATACTTTTTTTTGTGAAAATTAGTAATTTTTTTCAATTAATAATTAGTATTAATTTAACATAAAATATAATCAAATGAATTGAAGTAAAGATAGTTGAAAATTTGTCTCTCTGATTGTTTTTCGGAATTAAAAACGTTTTCATAAGTGGTCCATAAAAGAGTGTTAAAGTTACTATTTTGCTGTGCCAATACTGTATATGTAAATACGCAGTAGCAAATTTTATGCATACACCGATGCAAAATGCAAGAAAAAGCAACTTTATCAGGCCTATTCTCACTGGCGAACTGGTTACAATGTTTGAAAAAACTTGGGCAGCACTGCTTTGTTCGTCCTTGTCAAATTACATTTGCCAGTTGCTAAAGGGGAAAAAGAATAATATTCACATCGAAATGGAAGACGGTGCACTTCAAAATAAATAAGTTTTATTTATGTGTTTAGTAAATCATAAATGATTGAATCTAATTTTGGAAAATATGCTTAAGCGACAAAAAGCCTGAATGAAAACGCTATCTTCCAAATTAAAAAGGTCATTTGTTTCTCGCAAGCTTCTTATAATTCGCCTTTTTCCACTTCTATCTTCATCTTCAATGAATTCCATGCCTAAAATATGCCTACGCATTGTAGTCCCGATTTTTTCTCAGACTAACAACACAAAATCAAACAGTAGATTTTTTGTTACCTCCCGCTGCAAAAACCGTTGCATTACAAATCAAGTTTTTTTCTTCCTTTTTTACTGAACTGAATAGAAGCTTTAAATATTTGACTGCTCGGGGAATTTTTTTTCAACGAAAATTCTGTGCAATTCAATGAGAATGATTTTATTTCGTTGAGTTAATTTTTCTTGTTAGCGAAACGAAATTTTATCGTTGTTTATACTGGGAACCTCATACAATTTACAAGAAAAGATAATAATAATCATCGCCGAATTTTAATGACTTTTAAACAGTTTTAAATAAAGAACTACTTCGTTTGTAACGTAAATTTTACCCAAGACTTGGTTGCATTATTTAGTCCGTGTATGATTACTTACTTGCCGAATCGTCATCGGTATCCGTTCGGTATTTTACTGTGCGACAGATAATGGGAGGAACGGATAGCAATGACCTAACATTCTGGGTCGCCTTCGATGAGACGGTACTATACTAACTTTTCTTTTAGGACTGGTAACTTCTTTCCATATTAAAAGAAGATTTTCGTAGATTTATTTTTAAGATAGAAATGCGGAAGTCATTGCAGAACACTAAAACAATCTGAAGACTACATAAATAATACAGTAGTGGTTATGAAGTTGTTAGAAAAATTCAATTATAAAAATTATACTTTTATATAACATTTAAATATTAATGCATGTATATAATATACCGATTAAGTACATTCGTAAATTTTGTATTTTTTAGTTGGTTATGCACCAAATGCAACAATGAATACAGCACATCACATGTTGGTATATGGATGCGGTGAACCAGGGTCCGCAAAACCTGTTTGGTGAGTTTCTGAAATAGTTCCAAAAGTATATTATTTTTATATTGTTAATATTCAATGGTTATATGATTTATTTTAGACTTGTGTGATGCACATTTATATCTGAGTAAAAAATTCTCAGATAAGCCTATGAACTTTCATGCATAAATCACAAATAATATAAAATCACAGAATAAATATTTTCGCAAAAAGCTAATTCATTTATTCAAAATGTGCAATTGAAAAAAAGTGTATCGTTTTATTAAATATTACCATTAAAATGTATTAAGTATTGTATTGTATTAATTTAAAATTTTCATAATTTTTCATTGAGTAGTTCCTGGGAAAAAACACATTTAATAAAACGCTGCACTTTTTTCAATCGAATACTGTGAATAAACAAATTAGCTTCCAACTAAAATATTTATTATGTGGCTTTATAATATAATAAATAAAATATTTTTTATATTTAGTATTTTCCCCAACAGGGTTATTATTGTGATTTATCATGTGAATATCTTGCGGCTTTGAATCGGCAAGGCTTCTAGAAAATGTTTGCCTTTGAATGGTTTTATGTAAGGCTATAAAATAATATAATATATTACTGTGCATATGCACATAAAATATATAATTTTCTAAATTCATTACTAAAAATTTATCACACACCTGCAAACATACATGTGTACATATTTATATAAATAACCGTAAGTGCGTCGTCAACAAAGTATTTTTTTTTGCTGCGAACAGTACTATTCCCCGCACGTAGCTCTTCCACCAACCATAGATCTTAAAAATTAGAAGTTGAAGAAGTTTCTGTATCTACAAACATCGATAGAATGCGATGAAAAAGGAAAAATGTTAAAGAATCATTTGACTCATCCTCCTTACTCCTCTGCAACTGATTGGCCCATTTTAACAAAATTTTATGTACATATTAAGTATAATAAAATACATCTATTTTTTCACACCGGGAAGGGGGCCTGGGACTGTTCTATTCGGAAAACTTGAATTTATAATTCGATTAACTTGAAATTTCTTGCTCAGGTTAGCAGAAACATTACTTTTGTTTCCAGAAATAGTACCCAGGACCGATCTATTCGAAAAAATCGTTTCTATGGTTTTGTTTAATATATAAACATTTTCGGAAGTGCACCAAGGGTCACCGAACAGATATTTGATTGGCTTTGTCCGTTTCATAACCCGATAGACAGCATCATTTGTTGACTTAAGCAGAAGCTTTGTTGGATGACGCGTCCGTGCATATACGGGATATCTTTCCTTGCCAAGAAATTCCATAGCGTGCGCTATGACAATTTTCTTTTCAATGAACTATGCGTGAACAAGTTGCCTGAATGGAAGATATATTTTATTTTTTTTTGTTGGGCGAAGAGGAAAATTACAAGAGAATCATGGCTTATTGGCGGTCAAGGTGGTCCTCTAGAGCCATTGCTTCTAACACCAGCTTGAGATCGTAATACCTGTAAAGACCTAAAGTATAACAAATATATTATTTAATTGTATTACATAATTGTTTATGTATTTTTCCTTTTTTTATAAAAGAAATGAGAGTCGTGTATAAAAAGTAATACAAAAGACATGCTTTTATATAGTCAATTTTTACCGACAGTGGCTCAATAAGGAACTCGGACATACATTCCACTGTTATTAACATGAAACTTCACGTTAGATCTTTTTTTAACCAATTGATATTAAGCATTTTTGTTTTTTATGTTTCTATAGGCTACCCAATAAGAATTTAAAAACATCTAACATTTAAATAACAAACAAATTGAATAGTTTATAGGTCTCCTATACCCTTACTTCAAAAAATTAACATGTGCGTCGGACATCTGGTAATATTACAGTTGCTTGTCATTTTTAAAAGGGGGATCCCATAATTAAAATAAAATTTCAGTAGTTTTTTTGAAAAAAAAAGGTGAAAAGTTCAAACATGGGTAGACAGCGCTGACAAAGCTCAATTGAAGTAAGGAATTTAATTATTAGTTATTTTGAAATAGGGAAAACCATTCGGGAAATCGCAGAAATTGTGAGCAGGTCCCGCTCGACTATGCATGACGTTATTAAACGATTCAAACAAACAAAATCCGTGGAAAATAAAAAGAAGTCTGAACAACCGATGTTGTTTTCGGCTGCAGATGAGCTGTGGATAGTGCAGCAAATAAAAAAAAAAAAAATCCAAACATGAGCGCTCCCAAGCTCTCAACAGAAATTTTGCAACATCTCAATATAAATTGTAATCCGGAGAGTATCCGAATAGTGTTACTGAAAATTAATTATAATGGAAGAGTAGCACGGAAGAAACCATTTATATACGAGATTAACCGAAACAAAGGGATAAAATTTGCAAAATGTCATGGGGATAGGGATTTTCAATTCTGGAAACAAATTTTATTATATTTAGGTCAGATGGACAGTCGTATGTTTGGAGAAAACCGAATGAAGAGTTGCTAGAAAAGAATGCACGTCCGACTGCTAAACACGGGAGCGGCTCAGTAATGGTATGGGATTGTACGTCCGCAGCTGGTACTGAAAATTTGTGTTTCATAAATGTCAATATAGACCATAAGCAATATCTGACCGTTTTAAAAGAAAATTTAGTGCAAGTGCGGAAAAGTTGGGAATTAAAGACGATTTCCATTACTACCAAGACAACGATCCCAAGCATATTGCACTAGATGACCATCTATGAATGATGTATAACTGTTCTAAAGTGCTTGAAACACCTCCTCAATCTCCCGACATTAACCTAATTGAACATCTGTGGGCTCATTTGGAAAATAAACTGAAAATGTATGTTATTAGAAATAAAAAAGACCTAGAAGCCGCTATTTTGGAAGAGTGGGGGAAAATAAATTCTTTAACATGGAAGAAGCTAGTTGAATCTTTGCCAAGAAGACTGAATGCTATCAGAAAAAGTAAAGGCTTGCCGACCCAATATTAAGAATATTTTGTTTCTCTTTAAATAACATTTTTAAATTCTATGTTATGTATATGTCCGAGTTCTTTTTTGTCATCAGTTTTGTTAAGTTGTTATGTTCATATAATTTTCATACGACAGAGTTGAATTGAATGTTTACATTCCATTGCTTACCACAAGTGTGAGGGAAAGCACAATAAACTGAACCTTTATATTTTATCAAGATTGACATAGAATACCAAATAAATTTTTGCTTGATAAACATCTTGATAAACCATCAATATTTTGTTAACATGTCAAGAGCACAAAATAGGGCTGATATTGTATCCAAGTGAGAGAAAAAATAGCTCACAGAACATGTAGTTAATTTTCAGTACATATGCGAACTCGCTCAATGAGGAACGTTTATGTTGAAAACAAGTTATAGTTTTTTCTGAATTGATAACGGACCGAGATAAAATTCAAGTTAATTAATAAAACCGATTAATGTGAGATATACTTAGTTACGATACGAATTTAATTTGTTGGTAGCTTATCGTTTAGATTAATATGCAGAAACTGGTTTTTAATAATCTTACTATAGTTCAATTTGCGTGAATCTTTTTTTATTTTCCTTTGTATGGGCTGCACGAACTTTTTCTGTCGGAAACAGTTAGTTAACAGTTAGTTTAATTTAAGTAATTTTATGAGAATTACCCGTTTGCGCGTGTAGACAAGTCATCTTTGTTGTTCTTGCTTGCCTACTATTGCTTTCTGCCGATCGAGTTCATTCAAATAATTCGCATTAAGATTTGAACTATCAACATATATCACTCTTACAGACCTATTCTCACTATTACCGGTAAAGTAAATTTTGTTACTTTTCTTTAACACCCGAAATTAAATTTGGTATTCTGGCGAACTGGTTACAATGTTTGAAAAAAATTTGCCAGCACTGCTTTTTTCGTCCATGTCAAATTACATTTGCTAGTTGATAAAGTAAAAAGAAAAATATTCACATCGAAATGGAAGGCGGTGTGCAAAAAAATCAATAAGTTTTATTAAATTTTTATTTAATTCATAAATATTTGAACCTAATTATGGAAAATATGCCTGGACAATAAAAAAGCTGAATGAAAACGTTATCTTACAAATTAAAAGAGCTATTTTTTGTCTCGAATACTTCTTAAAATACGGCTTTTTGCACTTTTTTCTTCATCTTCAATGAATTCCAGGCCTAAAATATGCCTACCCATTTTGCTTTTTATTTTTTCTGAAACTAACAATACAAAATTAAACAGCAGATATTTTTGTTACCTCCTATTTCGCTGGTAACAAAATTTACAGGGTAACAGTCAGCTCAGAATACGAAATGGTAACAAAATTTACTGAATAGTAAATTTTAATACCAAAGTAAATTATGTTACCTCGACAGAATAGGCCTGTTAATGTAACATAAAGGTATGTAATTAAGGCGAGGCAAAGTTCGCTGAGTGTGCTAGTAATATACAAAAATTTTATGTAAGTTTGGTCATATTGTTTCTATGGTTCCTGGGAAGGTTTACTAGAAAGAAAGCTTTTATGAAATGAACTCGGGACTGACCTATTGCAAAAAAAGTTTATTTATGGCTGGATTTACTTCAAACTCGGTGAATAGGTGGGTTTTTGCTTAGATGAGCAGGAAAACTACTCTTCTCTCCGGAAAGTGGACCGGGAACTGGTCCATTCGAAAAGTCGGACTATTTCTCTCTCCGGGAAGTGGGTCAATGTCAATGGTTAAACCAAAAATTGTGTATTCCCACAAGTATTTAGTAAATAAAGTTATGATAAAAAGATATTCCATGATTAATTTGTCATACATTCAAGGAGTACGCAATTAGAAAGTTTAAGTTAATTTTCCATATAAATTGATTTTCTATAACTTTTGGATGTTGATAGTACCGGGATTTGAACCTTAGTCATTCGAATGAGTTCATTAATTTTTTTTTTAGCCTTTATTAGATCTTGGACTGGGTCGTGCACTGGATTAGGTTAATAATCTTAGCGTCAACTGCAGTACTGTAAGGAATGACTTGTGGGGCCGGCTTACTGGCTTTTAGTACTTTCACATAGGCCATTTCGGAGCTATGGTAAGAAGGGGCTGGAACGGAAGCAGTATATGGACACTGGTTCCATGTGGCATGCATACCATGAGCAAATTTAGATTTTATTTCTGTAAGCCGAATAACAACCTCTCTAATTAGCGGTGAATGCATTCTAGGGGTCTTATATAGACTCTTCCTCACTTAGCGGGGCAAATCTGTTCCCTTTTAGTGAATTACCATCAGCATCAATAGGGGAGCAAAATACTAAAAATGTAAAAAATTTGATTCACATTATGATTTTTATTTCCATTCTCTTAAAAACGTATAGACGCATACAATTTGGTTAAGCAGTTGTAAGTCCTAACGTACTTATGCATATATAGTTTAAATACACAATTTTTGAAAAAAAAACAAAAACATTAATACGCTATAATCGCTTTCTAATAAGGTGTGTCCCAAAATGTAAATTTTTAGTCTTCAGATTGTGTTTGTGTTTGAACCATAAAAACCATATGTTAGGGATACCTTTCTTTGAGAATTATATGTTATATTTATAATTTGTTAAAAATGCTCCGTTTTTTCAGGAATTGTGGAGAAATGTCAAAAAAATATTCTACTGACTCGGCAAGTCCTTGCGGTGTTCATTCGCATTCTCAGGTAAACTGATGTTAAATATATGTGTTTAGTAATGTTTAAGTTATAGGTATATGCATAAGCACCATCATTTACTTTTTTTCGGCTTGTTATACTTCGATCTTCTATGGATTTCTTGAAACCCATCTTAAGTTAAGAGCTCATTATTATTTCGTTTCAAAATTGAAATATGAGTTAGGTATTTATCTGAAAATATTTAAAACTCAATTTTACATACTTTCAAATTACTCATGATGTTTTACTTAGATAATCTGTTAAATAAATTTCCGGATAAGGTAATAAGTCAAACCCGCCCAATAATATAAATGCAAAAGCTTGCGTAGACACATTAATAATATTATATAATTTAGAGCCACTTAAATCCATAATAAATTAAAATTTTATTATAGCTTTTATTCACTCAAAAACTATAAATCAAACCAAAAAAAAAAAAAAAACAACAAATTCTTTTGGCTTTCAGCATTGTCAAAGACATTGCTAACTTGCAAAAATACATTAACTACCCGTCCCATTTTTTCCCCTCAAGTCAAAGTCACTAATAAACAATTTTGAAGATTGTGGTGAGTTCAATACCAAAGAAGAACGCTACCGATCTTTTGTCAGGAATGGCTGTCATCATTCTCGTTTGTGCATTTTCGTCACTCTTGTCGGACAAACAGAAAAAATGATTACATACATGCATATTATGTATTGTTAAATTTCATTATTTGTTTTTACAAAAATGAGGTATATATGTAGTTTCTATAGCGTAGAGAAAAAACTAAAAATACAGCAGGAACTTAATTTTCAAAAAAAAATATGAAAAGCAAAACAGTCTATGTATGTAAAAGTATTTAATTGTGATATGCGTTGGCGGCGCAGCTCCTCATCTCTGTGAATGCTTCCCTCATTTTCGCAGCTTCCTTGAAGTTGATGAAAATTATAAATGGATGTTCTAATCAGAAAGTTAATTGAATAATAAATTTTGTTGAATACTTTTAGAATTATTGTTGCCCCGCCATCCTGCTCCTAAACGTTCGGTACAATGTGGGGTACTTTCTTCGATTTTACTTTCACCTTGTGCGAGTAGCAACATAAAAAAAGTTAAAATTAAATTGAGTAGTAAATTAATAGACAATTTATTATTACAAATGTCTGGGTTCATTATCCATATAAGGAAATTGTTTTGTATTTGTTTATTAATTTAGAATTATATATTCGTTTATTTAATTCCAGCTCAATTTAACGTTCACATTTGTTTGATTAGTTATACTTTTAAATTTTTGGATTTCAAATATTTTCATTTCTTTTGAATTATTATAATTTTCACTGTGAACCAAAAACAAATATATTTCTATTTTAAAATAAAATATGTACAAATTTTCAATAATACATTAACATTTATAGAATTATATAATATTTAAATAGTGTTATATATAACAAGATATTGAAATATCAAGTGAAATTATCAGACCTTCTTTTGAACGTATAGAAATAATTTCAGAATTTGAAAAACATCTGTCGATTAAGAAACAAAAGTTTTTAGGTATGGTAAATTATTATCATAGGTATGTTAGTTAAAATGTTAGCAGCAGAATCAAGTCCTCTGCACGAAATGTTAACATTTACAATTAGACATAAACTAAAATAATTAAATTGGAAAGTTTTTGAAAATATTAAAAAACAATATTGACACATTTTCATGAAAACGGTAAATTATAAATTGCACTACATGCTTCAAATATTGCTGTTGAAGCTCTTTTACAACAAAAAACTTTATATATTTTTCGCGAAAATTAAGTCCAGCTGAAATCAATTATTCAACATTTGATAGAGAATTTTCGGCAACATATAACTCAATTAAATATTTTTTGAGGGTAGAATTTTCACTGTTAACACTAATCATAAATCATTTACTCATGTTCTAAACTATATAGCAGATATACCTACTCGTCAAAACACAATTTACTATTGATATTAGATACATTTGTGGTAAAGATAATAAAATTGCCAGAAGTTAATTCAATTTCAACAAAAGATATACATTTTCAATATTTTTATGAAGAACAACAAAAAGACGAGACTTTTTTGACCATATGTTTCTAATTCAATGAGAAAAATTATTTCTGAAAAATTTCATTTTTTATCACGTCCGAATGTTCGGACAACCCGACTCTTCATTTCATCTAAATATTTTGACCTAATATTAATAATAAGAAGTTAATAGTTGGAGATCATCTTGCTTTAATTGTCAAAAAATCTATAGTTAGATACTAAGAACACAAAAACTCCAATTCAAAAGATTAATATTCCTTCTGGACGATTTGAACATATTCATATGCACTTAGTAGTGCCTCGTCTGGTTTCAAAAGAGAATCGATACATTTTAACAATCATTATCAGACATAATCGATGGGCGAAAGCATATCCACTTAGAGATATTTCAGCGGTTTCTCTTGCACCTACATTTATTCTAAATAATGTTCCTCGTTTCGTTTACTTCAAAATTATTTAATGCATTAATAAAGCTCACAAAAGACACATTTCTCCATATCATCACAGTCAAATGGAATAATTAAAAAAGTTCATAGAACTTTGAAAAATGCAATTACAGCATCAGTTGACTCAGTTTATTGGTCTGAAATTTTACTGTGGATTCTTTTAAGTTCTGAAAGGTTCTAAAATGACTTCCGGGTAAACTCATGGTTCCCAATAATAAATGTAATAAAGAAATCGAGAATAAAAATGAATTTCTTTCTAAATTAAGAAAATATTTCTCACTTTTTAGATCGAAACTAATTCATCACAACAAAGAAAATAGTTTCATTCCTAAAAATTAAAATACTTGTGAATATTTATTTGTTAAAGTTATTCATAAGTCTAATCTTCAACCACTTTATGAAGGACCATTTAAAGATATTTCCAAGCACAACAAAACTTTTGAAGCAATATATATATATATATATGGAAATAATATTAAAACAGTATCTATAGATTTATTTAAACCTGCAAGCATTATGTCAACCACTTCTTCATAAAACATAAATACACTAACAAACACCAAACAAAAAATTTACATTAAACCTCAATTAATATTATTAAAAATATTTTTGCAGGACGTGCCCCTCTTAAATTTTTACCACTTCCCAAAATACTATTTGTACGGTTATAAAGTTCCGTCATTAAGAAAGTAATTGTATAATTTTTTATTCCATTATTTAATAGATCTTATATGCATGGGCGAGGGATGCACCAAAACTAGATTTACCTGATGGCGTGGGATTTAAGGTTGGCAGAGATACTCCTATAAAATACATTGTCCTACAAGTGCACTACGCTCACATTGACAAGTTCAAAGGTAAGTTCGTAAATTTATTACAAGAATGAGGCAGCTGCAGTTAGGTAATTAAATGCATAAATATTGATATCATCGGATTTAAATTAAAGAAAGTAGTAGTGGTTTTAATGCAAATTATTCTTTGTTATTTGTTGTTCGATTTGCCACCACGTTTTGTTACGTCAGTTGTTTTTCGTTGAAATATTTTCAAAACAGTTGATATAACAAGTAAGACTATACAAATTTTACATAAAAATAATATATGTCTAAAACAAGGGAAATCTAAAATAATTAAATATTTGGTGAAAAAAAAATTTTCAAACAATAATAAAATAGTAAGTTTTTAGAATAAAATACAGTAAGAGCTTATTATTTCCGCCAATATTTTGAGAATGTGTAGGGCGATTAATATAACTTTCCTACTTTTGGAGCTTCTAATAAATTCTACAGAAACTCTTGAAAAGGGAGAGATTTCTTACTTTTTTAGTACATTTTGCCCAAGAACGCTTTGAACGCTTAAAATATGTAGAAAAACGAAAAAATGCCCTTTAAATAAAAACTTAAATATCATACCGATTTGAAACACATTTATGTTAGAACTTGAAAGTATACATGTAACCCAGCTATCATTCATTAATGTTGTTATTACCAGTAACAGGCCTATTCTCACTGTTACCGATAAACTAAATTTTGTTACTGGCGAGCTGGTTACAATGTTTGATAAAATTTTGGCAGCACTGCATTTTTCCTCCTTGTCAAATTGCATCTGCCAGTTGGTAAATTAGAAAAAAGAATATTCACAACATTTGCATAACATTCATAACATTGCGCGACAAAATAAATAAGTTTTATTTATTACATACGCCTTTTTGCACTTTCTTCTTCATCTTTAATCAATTCCAGTCCTAAAATATGGCGACACATTTTGGTTTTTATTTTATTTTATACTAACAACACAAAATCAAACAGCAGATTTTTTGGTACCTTCAATTTCGCTGGCAACAAAATTTACAGGGTGACAGTGAATTCGCAATACGAAATAGTAACAAAGTAAATTTTACTACCTCGACAGAATAGGTTGAACGTGCTTAGAAAATAACCCTAAGACCAACACCGGCTTCGCTTTGCACAGTATGTTATCGTAAGACATCTTTATGATTTAGAGGCCTACGGCCGCTCGTCAAAAAATAACCCTCTTTTACTATCTTTGTATTTGGACAATTGAAATTAAATTCATGTATACATTTGTGTTTAATTTAAACATTTATCTCTGCTTAATAAACGAACACCAAAAAAAAAAAAAATATAATTTAATGATAGTTTAATTTTATTGTGCTTCCTATCCAATATAAATTTATTAAATTGAATGGGTTTAACGTAATGAAATTAGTAAAAGAAGTATTTACAACGTAAGTAGCAAAAGTATGAAAATGGTTGAAAAGTTTCTGCGCTCAAAATATAATCTCCCTTAATTTCAATACAATGCTCATCCAATAATTTTATGCCATTCTTATAATGACATTAAGCAAGCTCTGCAAGATATTCAAAATACCCATCTGCGGCTGGGTAAATACGGTGGCTGCTCAAGCATGACGCCATAACCTTTTTTGCTGATGGTTGTGACTTCAACAAGCTGCAGTACACTGTAAACGATGTTGTTTCAATTTAGGAACATAGTGGTAGATCCAAGTCTCATCCACAGTTATAAAACGACGAAAGAAAACGGTTTTATTGCGCATAAAACGCTAAAAATTTTACTGAGAGATTGGTGTTCGATCCAGTTTTTGTTCAATTGTTAACGTGGGTGGTACCCACTCGTTCTTTTGGGATGCCTATGGCATTAGCAATTTTATGCTCAGTCAAACTTGGATCTTCACAAACAATATTATTATCTTGCAAAATAGTTTCTGGTGTGGTTGTGGTCGTTCGCGTGATCGTCTTCAAGTCAAGCACGACCCCGTTTAAATTCACCAACCCAATTTGAAAGGTGATGACTTCTTATACGCTTCTAACAATTGTTCATAATTTTCCTTTGCTTCAAAACCTTTCAAAACAAAGTATTAATCACTGGTAGACTTCAAACGCCTTGTAAAGACAGAATGACTTGTAACTTTGCATGTGTTCTCACGACATATGTACCAACTTGAGAAAAAAAACTTGCAGAAACTTTTCAACCAACCTGCAAATAAAACAACAAGTGAACAAAAGTTTTAATTCTTTATCTATCAACCCTATCAACCCTATCAACTTAATTAAAATGGTCCTCGTGTTTTGATTCAATTCTCAAGCCAACCCAGTATTTTTAGTGAAGATGAAAAACATAAAATGTTGTACGATGTCACGAAGCGTAGCACGCTCTACGCCGCATCTCTGCTAAACAGACTGCAGTTAGTATTCAGCGAACCCTTAAACGAATTTGTCGGAGTGGTTGCACTGAAGCTTCCTCTCTTTTAGCCGTGATTCAGGAAATAGTCACTGGGAGTCAGGTTCCGACTGTCATGTTAAATTTCTATAAATCTTTTAAGATATCCCTAGCAAACCGAACAGTGTGAATGGTTGTGTTGGCCTGAAGGAATAGCGCTCCGCGCTCTAACTTGCCACGTCTATTCCGTACGGCTGCCTCACGCTCCCAATTTGCGTGATGCTGGCCGTTCATTGTAGTCCCCTTTAGGAAGTAATCAATTAATATTCCCTCGCTATGCCAGGATGTGGTTTTTTGGTCGGCACTCCACTTTTTTCATTCATTTAAAAAAATTTTCTCGGCGTACTTTCCCTTTTCACAAGGAATTTATTCACAGCACGGTGCTCCAAATTGCGAGAATTTCCAGTTTCTGTTGACAGTTTTGTTACATGTTCAAGGAACAAAATGTTAATGAGCCTAATGCAAAAAGTTTTGTTATTTATGATAATAATGAGGCCCGCAACTAGTATTGTCAGTAACGAGGTGATGTGCCATCTTGATTATTAATAATAATAATAATCAAAAATGGAGGCAGTGCGCAGCATGTAATCGGCTAGCCGAAGACAACCTTTGCATGTTTTATTTTTTAAATTAGTATATATATTATATACAAATGAAAAAATGAAAATAAATGACGCTAATGCTCATTAAAAACTACTAATTTATATTTTTAGATGGCAGCACTGATGATTCTGGAGTCTTCATAGATTACACCCTTCGACCGTAAGTAGATTTATTAAGGTTTTTAAATTACGAATTGCATAATTATGTTCTGAAATCCTATAGGATTTAGTTAATGGGAATCTCCCAGCAACGCCATAAAGCAATTTATTTAATGTTAATTTAATTTATAAATGAGTTTAATTGTTTATGTCTTTTGCTTTATTGGCACGTTGGCACCGCTTACGCGCTTATAAGCGAATTAATATTAGTGCGCCATTCCTCTCTTCTTTTCGTTGTCTGACGCCAGTTGGTAATACCAACTGAAGCCAGGTCGCTCTCCATCTGATCCTTCCTACGGGGTGAAATTCTTCTGCTTTCACCAGTGGGTACGGCATCGAATACTTTCAAAGCTAGAGTGTTTTCATCCATTCGGACAACATGACCTAGCCAGCGCAGCTCTTGTGTCTTCATTTGTTAAATTATGTCAATATCATCGTATAGCTTGTGTAGCCATCGTTCCATCGTCTGCGGTATTCGCCGTTGTCAATGTGCAAAGATCGCAAAACTTTTTTCTCTAAGACTCCTAGAGCCGACTCATCAGATGTTGACATCCTCCACATTTTGTGTCGTATTGTAGGACCGATAAGATGAGTGACTTGTAGAGTTTGATTTTCGTTTGCCGAAAGAAGACTTTACTTTTCAAGTGCATTATTAGTACAAAGTAGCTCCTGTTGGCAAGAGTGATTCTGCGTTGGATTTCAAGGCTGACGTTCAAGGCTGAGTAAATGCAGGCTCCTAGATAGACGAAATTATCTACGACCTCGAAGTTATGACTGTCAACAGTGACGTGAGAGACGAGTCGTGAATGCGATGACTGTTTGTTTGATGACAGGAGATATTTCGTCTTGCCCTCATTCGCCTCGCTTCTCTATCAAGTTTAGAGAAAGCAGAAGTCACGGCGCGGTTGTTGATGCCAATAATGTCGACATCATCGGCGTACGCTAACAGCTGTACACTCTTATAGAAGACTCACCTTGTCTGAAACCTCGTTTGGTATCGAACGGCCCGATCCTAACAGGGTTTTCAGTGCTGCTTAAGGTCAATTTACTTAGCTGTAGAAGCTTTGGGGGGGGGGTTACCAAATTCAGACATGTCGAATGCTGCTTTTGCTTTTTTCTCGGGTATTTTTCAAGACTTTACATCCCTTGAATTCGCTTAAAACTATATTACGGATTATTTAAAAAAAAGTTTAACAATTAGATCACGCACTTCTTTCTCATTGTCTACGACTGCACAAAATAATGAATGAGAAATTCTAATTCATATGCAATACAATTTAACATATTTTGGGTTAATTTTGGGGCACCCTTTACATATGTACAATTGAAAAAATATGTACTGAACTTTAGGCTCTACTACGCATGTAGATTTTCAGACCCAATTCTATTCCTCCTCATTCATGACTAAGACGCTAGACTATTATGATATGAGCTCAAATTATTTATTTTCCTTAGCGTGGTCGTCTAATATGCAATATATAAATATGTACATTTCTTTACAGGTTGAACAAGCTTGCCGGAGTTTTACTTCTCGGAACTGCAGGAGTTATTCCACCGAATTCACTGGAACATATGGAAACTGCCTGTGAAATAAGTGAAAATAAAACTATTCATCCATTTGCATATCGTACTCACACCCATAGCCTTGGGAAAGTTGTGTCAGGATACAGAGTACGAAGTGATGATCATGGTATACATCAGTGGACCCTTTTAGGCAAAAGGGATCCATTAACACCTCAGATGTTTTATCCGATTGAAAATAGCGATCCTATCATGACCGGCGATTATCTTGCCGCAAGGTGCACAATGCTTAGTCACCGGAACCGAGTTACACAAATAGGGTTTGTAATCAAAAACATATTTAATTAACAAATGTTAAAAAGGTTATATTTTCTAGAGCTACAAACGAAGATGAAATGTGCAACTTTTATTTGATGTACTATGTTGAAAATGACGAACCTCTAAATATGAAGTATTGCTTTAGTCAGGGACCCCCCAACTACTATTGGGGTAATCCTGATGTTGGGCTTCATAACATTCCAAATATTGAAGCCAGTACATTGTGAATATATTCCAAAATGTAGTACTAATTTTATTCCAAAAAATGTAAATATTTAGTAATTGTTGAACGTCATTGTAAATAACAAAATAAAGTGTATGTATATATGTATTTGTGTAAAAAAAAATTTTTTTAAATGGGAAAACATTCAAAAAATTTATGTGCTTACTGTTTCATTTTTCATTTATGAATTTATTAAGCAAAAATCAGAATTTATATGAAATCACCACCTTACTATGTGTAAAATGCGTCTTCAGCATATATTTGAAATTGAAAAAGTCACACTATGATCGTTGAGCGATACTTCTCCGTAAAAAAAAAAAACAGAGATATTCAAGGAATACATATGTATGCATCCGATTTTTGTGGCCTAAATGTAGGCGCTAACATAGAAACAAGCTCAAGAACTATTCTCAAAAATAGGTTTGACTTATATCTGCCGTCTAATTTTTTTATTTTCTCTACGATTCTGCTGCTTTCTATCAAAGACCTTTTTTCTGCTATTGATGATTTATTTATGTACATATATCAGTAGTTGGCTTCACACACTACTTTGCTCGCATCGTTTATTCTAGAAACAATATTGCGATATACAAAAAATATTATTGATATTGATAACTGTTCAAAAGTGAACTGCTACCTTGCCGATATTTCTCACTTCTTTACTGCACGACATTTGAAAATACAATCGACCAAATCCTCGGCTACCCTTTTCACCAGCTGGACGAAGGAATACAGGCTTGTGCTATATGTGAAGGTCGATGAAATAAAAATTCCGACGGTAAATAATCCAAAGATATTGGGAGTGACACTAGACGGCCTGAACTACTTCACTCCGCATACGACCGCAATTGCCGCGAAACTCCAGAGCCGCAACAAAATACTCAAAGTCAACTTACAAAGATCCAGATGAAGAAGCTACAGGCTTGCCAGACAACCGCCCTCAGGACTGCGACAGAAATGTCGCCGGATCATCACTTGCACAGTGAAGCATCTATACTACGAGTTAGGGTGCATAATGCTATGCTAAGCAAGCATTTCCTATTGGGATGTTACCGCAGGAGGCACCTCAACAGGTACCTAATAGAAGCTGAACCTCCTCCTAGGCATCAGTCAGTCAGCACCTTTCAGTGAATAGCGTGCTCGGAATAAAACCACCATCTATTGCAGACAACGAGCTCGAGCTTCCTCGAGAGACTCGCTTGACCTTGGCATAACTTAAGTCTGGATACTGTAGCAGGTTAATCTCCTACTTATCCAGACTCGACCCCAGCATATTCAACGTATGCCCTGCCTCTTCACATGCTTCTTAAACCAACTCTTCTAACTCCCTCTCCCTTTGGCCCAATCCCGTCGAAACAACTCGTTTCCTGAACCTACCACTAGATGACCTCGTCGACTTAGATTAATCAAACTTGTGCCGAATCGTGGTTAGCGAGCCGCTACAACAAAAACAACATAGCCGCGTCTTTTTTTGAAAGTTTTACCATTTAATGAGCTCTGCAAAGATCGAAACAAATGGTAGACTTACGGTGCAAGGTCAGGGCTATATGGTGGATGCATCAACAGTCAAGCTAAGTCAGCCAAATTCAGTTTTTGGCGTGTGGTCAAAGATGTGTGCGGTCTAGCATTTTCCTGGTAGAATATGATTCCTTTACGATTGACCAATTTTGGCCGCTTCTCGTTGATGAATGTATTCAACTTGTCCAGTTGCTCACAGCAGACATCCGAATTAATCGGTTGGTTCCTTGGAAGCAGCTCAAAATATACCACACCCTTCCAGTCCCACCAAACTGACAGCATAATCTGCTTTTGGTGAATATCAACGTCGTTTTCTATTGAAGTTGTGGTAAACAATCCATTTTTCATCTCCAGTTATGATTTTCTTCAAAAACGGAGCATATTCATTGCGTTTAAGATGCATATCACAAGCATTGAAGCGGCTTGTTAAATGAATTTCTTGCATTCATTTGGTACCCAAATATAAAGTTTTTGTTTTACCAGTCCAAGATGTCGTACATGATTATGAACGGTTGATATTGGTATATTTAACTTCTCTCCAATCTCACGCTCAGTTACATAACGATCCGATTCGATTAAAGCCTTGACATCGTCATCATCAACTTCACTTGGTCGGCCCGAACGTGGCTTAGCTGTAAATGAATAATCTCCCGATGTGAATTTGACAAACTAACTTCGACCCTCTAAATTTTTTCCTTTAAGGAAATAATAAAACAAATCTTAGGAAAATGTTCTTTTGTAGGCTCCTTTTAAGATATTATTATGAAAACTGACGTCAAATAAATAAATATAAACAAAGTTACGCATTTCTTTTCTAAAGCAAGCTAAAAGAAAAATTACAATTAAATAATCACAAGCTGTTCAAAAAAAATTCTTAACACCGTCTGTATAAAAAATCGCCGGTTTCTTTTGGGGCAACCCAATATATTAAACTGTTTCAATACTTATCAAATAAATATAAGAACCCTTATAAGAATAGCTTTTTCTGTCAATTTTATATTCAGTGAAACTACATTTTTGTATCAAGCCAATACTATGACCAACGAGAGTGGTGCCTTCAATTTTCTCCGCACGTGCGAATCGCATCCAATAAAATAACTGTTTACAAACGCTAACGCTGGGGCTAACATTTTTTGATATAACATTGCAGTAAACTATATAACAGGGTCGGTAGGATAACATCAGGCTTCAATCAGTTCTACTATCCTAGCCAACCAGTTAATACAATGAAATTATTATTTACGAGCGAAGATGGAAACGTTAAAGCTGGTGTAAAAATTCACTGGATTGGGATTTGAATGGAAGGACTTTGAACACGATTGATTAAAGTTTTTGTACAATTGATAATAACCAAAAAACAATCCAAAAGAATTAATTTTTCAAATTTATTATTATTTTTTTTCAAGCTTGTAACAGTATATTACAAAGTTGATGACACTTAAACTTATGAATGAGGTAGTTAAGGCAGGAAAATTTAATTCTTTAACATTTTTTATAATTTGGTTTTTAAATACTTCTACAGGCCTATTCTCACTGTTACCGGTAAAGTAAATTTTGTTACTTTTCTTTAAAACCCGAAATTTTATATTTTGAACTGGTTACAATGTTTGATATAAATTTGGCAGCACTGCTTTTTTCGTCCATGTCAAATTACATTTGCCAGTTAATGAGTAAAAAAAAGAAATATTCACATCGAAATGGAAGACGGTGCACAAAAAATTAAAAAGTATTATTAATTTGTTTATTAAATATTTGAACATAATTATGGAAAATATGCCTGGACAACAAAAAAAGCTGATTGAAAACATTATCTTACAAATTAAAAGGGCTATTTTTTGTCTCGAAAACTTCTTAAAATACGGCTTTTTGCAATTTTTTCTTCATCTTCAATGAATTCCAGGCCTAAAATATGCCTACCCATTTTGGTAGATATTTTTGATACCTCCTATTTCGCTGGTAATAAAATTTACAGGGTAATAGTCATCTCAGAATACGAAATGGTAACAAAATTTTCTGAATGGTAAATTTTAATATCTAGGTAAATTTTGTTAGCTCGGCAGAATAGGCCTGCTAATGTCAATGTAATATAGTACAATATTAAGCGGGGACGATTTCCCTACGAATATGCAAAATATAGTTCCCCATGAGAAAAACATTGATTTTCCAAATCTAAGCCCCAAATGAACATTGTTTTGGCCTTGAGCCTTATTTACAGACATGACAAAAGGTAAACGAATTGGAAGCTGTAGCCTTCTTAAACTTCCCAGTTATAATGGTTGCTTCAAAAGCATTTCCGGTGATCTTTTTGATGAGCAAACACGTACGTTACATACTTGAGGTAGATTGAAATTACGTCGGAGAATAATAGCGACTCCAATCTTTTATCGAGGAATTAGTGGTGTCCAGTTCATTGAAATAAGCACCTAAAAAAATAGGAATTTAAATACAAAATTAAAATTCGTACATATAGTAAGAAATAAAGATATATAGATAATAAGATATTCATCCTGTCCTTGCAAAAATATTTAGGGATATTTTAGTGCGTCTTATGAATGGCGTCAGCCCGAAATCGTACTGACAGTTTTGTAATTTTTATAGCTCTTTTGTCAACTGGATCACCAACCATAATAACATCAACAGTTGGGCGTTGAATTTGCCAGCATGTTCACCTAATGGTGCATTGTCGGCTTTTATGACGATTTGACAGTTGTCATTTTGCAATCGTAGCGAAACTCTTTTATAAATATAATTTGCGCTTTGTAACCGAGGAAGCGTTTTTTTTGTTTTGCGTCTTGATGTTTTTCCAACAAAAGGAGGGACCTACATTTTATACTAAGCCGCCTCCGAAGGTCTGATGGAGGAGATTTCATCTCATGTCCGTAATACACTCAGAGGGGTATATATTCCCAGCCGAGGAGAAAGTTTAATAAATTTTTTAAATTCAATTTTCGTGACTTTTGGATGTTGGGGGCAGCAAGACATTAACCCGGGCTTTTCGAATGTCAGCACGCAATGCTAACCACTCGGCTACCGCGGCCGCCCTTCTTTCAATTAATGGAATTAGTTGAATCTGCTTGTGTGATATCAGTTTTTGAATATGCAGGGCAGTTGTGTTCCTGAGATTCTTGTACTCGACCCTCTGCTGCTCTGATTTATTCCATCGGCTGCGGCGTTTGCTCGTAGAGGGCCGTAAGCCTTGCAAAAACCTTTCTCTCGAAAACGCCGACTCATCAGATGTTGTCATCGTCTATGCCTCCTCACCATATAGTAGGATGACAACGACAAATAACATGTAGAGTTTGGTGTTCGTTCGTCGAGAGAACTTTACTATTAAATTGCGTACACAGTCCAAAGTAGTACCTTTTGGCAGAGTGATGTTGTATTGGATTTCCAGGCTGATATTGTTGTTGGTGTTAATAGACGAAGTTTTCTATGACTTCAATGTTATGACTGTCAAAAGTGAAGTAGGAAACCAGTCGCAAATGCGATAACAAGAAGTATTTCGCACTGCTCCCGTTCACTACAAGACCCATATCCTTCACTTCCTTATCCAGTCTGGAGAAACAGAACTCACGGCGCG